TGACTTAATTACTTCAGCAAGTTCAAACTCAAAATTCTCACTACTCAAGTAATATAAATGAAATCTATGGACATGTATAGTTTCAGGGCAATGATGTCTACATTTTATCTTCACAAATGCAAGCCTAAAAATGCTTAAATAATGAGATGAAAAGTCAGAAAATGTACCTCAAAAATAGAAATCGTGAAATGAGTTTGAGCTTGATTCAAGGTGCTGCAATGACCAGGTTAGCTTCCTCAAGTTCCCAAGAAGCTAATGCAATGATTAGCTTGAGCAATGGATAGCTGAAATGGTCTGGAGAAGTCAACTTGCAGAGCTCTGTTTTTGGTTATGGAGGTTGATGAAGATGGAGTTACAATTATGAAACAGGGTCAGGGATAGTTTGTATTTGATGTAAGGAAGCTTTAGGAATTAATTTGAGGGAAAACACACAAGGGAAATGAAAGATACAAGTTTAAGGTCAGAACTGTGTATCAATGGAGTTTTTTATGCAATTTCTGGATAGAGGGAGTTTGGGAGAGTTTCAGGGTGCTTCAGCTCGTCTCTCAACTCACAAATAGTGACTCTATTTATAAGCAACAAGTTTGGAGACTTGTTGTTGATCAGAATTCAAAATCACATGTTTATGCATAACATGTGATTTTTGAGAAATTCAACTTTCAAAGCCTTGTGTACTTTCTAAGATAGAGTGGTTATACTTTAAACATACTTGCTTCTGACTTTGTGGATGGAGTGTGATCAGAGGGAACAAGTTAGAGGCTCAAGAATGGACTTTAAGCAAAAATCTTGCTTTACAAGAATGGCAATGCTAACTTTGTGCTATTAATGGAAATGCAACTTGGATAATAGCTCAATTGCTTGGATCAAAGCTCTAACAGCTATGTAAACATTTAATTATGGAGTGACAAACAAGTTTGAGGCTTGTAAAACAAAGATTATGCAGCCTAGCATGGATTTGGTTCATGTGTTCTTTAAAAATGACTTGTAATTCAAGTTTGAAAACCCTAACTTTCTCTCTTCGATTCTCCCTGCTCAAGAATGATCTCAAGGAGTTCTTGGATATTTTGGAAAGCTTGTAATGTTCTCTACAACCCCTCTTTGAATCACTTTTGAAAATACCCCTTGGAACTATATGAAAAAGTGTCATGGAGTTAGGTCAAAATCCTGCCTAAACTAGGGCAAAATTTCACTAAGTGTTTAGTTTCAAGACTATGACTTCATGAATTAATAACTTGAGATCCAAGCACTTTTAGAAGAAGTTTTGTAAAGCAATGTTGTAGATCTCATGGAGATCTGTAAAGTTCATGTTGAAAGTTTCTTCTGAATCATCTTGCATCATGGTGAAAAATTTACTCAAAGTTGTGAAAAAACATGAAGTTTTCAACACTTGAAAAAATTTCTAAGTTTGAAAACTATGACTTTTCAAAATGAAATCTTGACTTTTTGATTTCTTGATGAATAAGTTTCATATTTTGACATGTTTTGATGAATTGTGATCTTTGACATTTGATTTTGACCAAAAAGTCAAAGTTTGACTTTTCAGTGTACAGTTGACTTTTGATTAGTTGACTGAAAATTCACTATCAATCCAATTGATCTTGAGAAATATTTTGGGTCATGCCATTAGGTAAAAATGGTGCAATTGAACTCTTGAGATCATGCATCAAACTAATTAACCATTTGCTAGGTAAAAAAAATCAGAAATTGCCCTTTCTCAGTCAAAACTCTAATTTTGACCATTTTGCCCTTTTGATGATTTGATTAAATTTCTTGAAGAATTATGGTCCAAACTTGATCAAATGATATATATGAGTTTATACTGTTGATGTGGATAAAAAATTATGAAGTTTGACTTTAATTTGGCCACAATTGACTTTTTCCCCAATACAGCTGATTTTTAGGTCAACTACTCGATTGACTCAACAAAAAAAGTGATCCAAGGCTTAAAACTTGACATGAGTAATCCTGGGGGTCCATAATGATCCATGAAAGTCATATGAGGCATTGAAAGTTCAAATATCCTTGTGCAATCTCAAACCCTAGTTTTAGTCATTAATGCTTAAGGAGGTGTCTTGAGTTGATCAACCCTAGTGCAATCTTGAACCAAGAGAGATCTTTGTGAGAAAATAATTGATAAGTGAGAGAGAAAATTTTGGGGTACAACACATTCCTTGATAGAAGAGGAAATCCTCAAAGCCCACATAAACCCTAATTCTGACCAATGATGTCCCAAGCTCAAAACCTTAATTCCTCAAGACATGAGGGAGAAACCCTTGAGCAAAGATGACTTGTATGATGAAAAAAATATAATGCTTCATGAATCTTGATCATAACAGGTGTCACACACTCAAAAGTCAAAACCCTAGTACAAAACTAATGGATAGGATAAAAGTGATTCTCTTCACAATACTCGCAAATCTTCAATTCTTCGATGACACAAAGAATTAATGATATGTTTGAGATGTCTTGAGATATGAAAAACCTTGGTAGCTTAAAGAGATTAGAAACCCTAGGAGTATGAAGGGATATTTTTGAATGAAATGAGAGGGAAAATTTTGGGGTACAACATTTATTGATAAAGAAAAATCACTCCAGTAGATAGACTGAACTAACATTGTTAATGGTGAACTAGGATAAAAATATTTGTGTGTCTTATTATTGTTGTTTACTTTGTGCATGAGTATTGTTTGATGTTTGGTAGTTTTAAAAAGATTAAATTCGTGAAACCTAATTCAAACTCCCCTTTCATGTGTTTTATTGATCCTTCAGGTTGAACTTCAACATCGTCCCAAAGTGGACTATAAATAAACACGCAAAAGTGTATATTTTCATCGTCAAATCAAAAAGAGAAAAATGCTTATTTGGTGCCTAGGAAAAAATTCTCAACTAGTTTCGTGTATGCGATAACTATCATAAATTTCCAAATGCCTTAATTTGATTGTCCGAATGAAAATGGAGGAAGACCTGGAAAGTGAAACTTAAGTACAAAGTATAGTTAGAGAGGTATCTGAAAGGTAAATACCGAGAGAACTAGTCTTTAGCGGATCCGAATGAAAACTAACATATGAGTACTGACATGCTTCATTTTCGTAAGCCTTTTCATAAGTGAATCGCTTGATCCAAAAATTCGCACGTGCAAGCTTTGTTGCTTAAGGACAAGCAACACTCCAAGTTTGGGGGAGTTTGATAAGTGGTTTTCGCACTGCTTCTCATAGTTGTTTTGTTTTGCTATTTCTTCGGTTTTAGTCTTTTTTTCTCCTTCTTTTATCATATTTTAGGCTTTGGTATTATGCTTTTAGTGATTTCAGGTCTTAATAAAAGGAGATTGAATCGAGTAAAACGTAGAAAACTGCAAAGGCAAGGTTTTGACATACAAGACCCTCCATTTTTTTGTTGTTCGCCCAACTTTTTCTAGGGACCCGCCACTTTTTGTTATCTCTTTATGGGATTTGAGTTTTATCAAAGTTTAAACTTTTACGTATTTTTATCTTTCGAAGTTTTGTACTGAAGTCTCCGTTGGAGCGACTTTATCTTATTATATTTAAGTATTTCTTTCATCATTCAGGTTATATTTATCGTCTTTATTATTATTATTGTTATCTTAATTAATTTTATCGTTAATAATGTTTCCGATTTTGAGAATTGTGGTGAAATGTTTTGAATTCTTTCAAATCTAGGCGTTGAATATCGGACCCCTAGCCTCAACATTTTAATACGGTTGTTTTATACAACCGTTAGTGGTATGTTACATGCTGTTGTGTTTTTTTACCGCGGCTAATAGTTGGTGGTGGTAAAGACCAGTGATGAAATCCTTCTTCTAAGCATAGTAAAATGTGCTTTTTTTAAGTAGTGATTTAGATGAAAAAGAAAGTCGTTCTCCTCTTAACACCATTCATATTCCTCATATTGCCCGCATTGTCCCATTGATTGCTCTTCTCTTATATCTTTTTCTGGTTTTCTACTCTTGTTCACTCCAGTTTCATGATGGTTGATGGAGGATGAATGTTAGACAAAGTTAGAGAGAAGTTGGAGTTTCTCTCCTACCATCTTTCCTTCTCACGTTAGTATGATTTCTTGATTGATAATGATATGTAAATGAATAAATCTTTCACAGGATATGTCAATATATATACTTTGATTTGCATCCCTTGTCTTTTTTTATGAACAAAATATGGTTCACTTAGAATGTTAACTAGTACTTTCTATATTAATTGATGCTATAGTTAATCAGAATCTCACTTCAATATATTCCTATGCTTTAATACATATATCATTTATGTTTGTATCTGTCTAGTACTTGAAACTTAAACAAAAAGCACTTATTCGATGATGGGCAATTTCTATCATTTTCTGTTTTGGTTCTATTTAAATGATCCACTAAAAATTTGTATTGTAGCTTAGTCTATTAAAGTGAATTATTGCTGCAAAGAATAAAGAAAGCATCTCAAACATTGATCTCAAATACTATTATTTTATGTTGCCCTACATTCACCTCTAACCCTAGCTATACCCTCCAAACAATCCCAATGTGTAACCCCAAATTAAGGAATTAATTAGCACTAGTGATTAATAGCCTCAAAACACTGGCCACCACCTTTTTTTTTTCTGTTCTACTTTATAATAAAGTAAAAGCAAGAATAAAAAGGGAAAAAAAATGAATAAATTGATAGGAAAGAAAAAAAGTATGCAAAGTTTGTTAACCTCATCTCTATAAAATACTTTGAGACCCCAAGACTTTACGTTTCTTCAAACACACATAGCTAGTAAGAAAGCAAAACACAACTCTTAAAAACTTTATCCAAAGTCTTGTTTGGTTGTACATACAAGGAAATATATCATCACAAAGGTGAAAGTAGAAAAGTAGAACAAAAAAGTTGCTTAAAATTTTTTCATTTTTCTTAAGAGAGGCTAATTATTTTTTTTCTTGAAGTTGAAAACATGAAACTAGTTACTTTCTACACATATATCATGAATATGAGTGTGTTGATCAAGTGTAGCAAATGATGGCTGGAAACCCTAACTGGTGGAACATGCATCCACAATCTTTGAATATCCCTCAATATATGCTTGGATCTTCTTCAATCCCTTTTAATTCCCTGACAGAAAATGCTGAAGTTCCACCTCAATCATGGAGTCAACTTCTTTTGTTAGTTCAACCAAACCCTCTCCCTCTCAAGCTTCTTAATTTGTATCCACCAACATGGTTTTAAATTGAAGTTGCAGCTAACCTAATTGCACTCTGATGCGGTTGCAGTTGAAGTTACCTCAAGCTCTTTTATCTGTAGTTGAAGACTACAATTTAAAACCATGGCTTATACTTTATACGGTTACAAGTTTTCTTCAACTCTTGTTTATTTTTTCTTAATCATAATTCTACGGAGTGATATTTTTTGCAGTACTGGACTACCTGGAGAAGAAGAGAGGCTTGGTTTTGATCATTTTCAACCTAAAAACACAGAAAACTGGGATGTTCAAATACTGAATCCATCTTCAAGGGTTCCTATTATGGATGTAATAAAGCATGAAGTTTCTCAGAGTGAGAATTTCTATAACCAAGGACATCATGAAGAGTTTCTTACTTCTGGACTTGCTTCATCTTGGTCACACATGGTGCCAGTTTCTTCTCCAACTTCTCATGTCACTACTAGCTTAAGTAGTGATAATATATTGGACTTCACTTATAACAAGCTAGATCATACCAAAAACCAACTACCAGATCAAATATCTGAGGTAAAATTAACATAGGTTCTTGTTAATTATTATTTTTCATATTAACACTAATATTATAATTTATTATTATTATAATTTCTATAACACTGACACTTCTAAAAGAAAACGTGTACATGTTTGTGTCTGTGTCGGTGTAAGACACTGACACCGACACTTATGATTACGTGTCTATATCGTATGTGCTTAAGTGTCTATGTCGTATCTTATATTTGTATTTGTGCGTCTGTGTCTATGTGCTTAAGTTATGTATATATATATGATAATCAAATTTACTTTGTATATTTCATTCTTATGTTCTAGTGTAATAGTTCAACTGTTGGAGTTAATAAGAAAGCTAGGGTTCAGCCATCTTCAAGCCAACCACCACTAAAGGTTAATTAATTACAAATTATAGTTAAATTAGCAAAAACAAATCTTAAACTTATAGTTAATTATAGCTCAAGTATATACTAATTATTCATGAATCTGAATCAGGTGAGGAAGGAGAAGCTAGGTGATAGAATAACAGCACTTCACCAACTAGTTTCTCCATTTGGAAAGGTAACAAACTAAAATTAATCACTCTATTAATGCTATTATTATCATATATAAACCATTATTTGTGTTAATTTTTGGATTTAGCAGAAATAGTAGTTTTCAATTCAAAGTTAAAACTTTCATGATGCAATTTTCTGTGCAACCCTTTTGTCATTGATTAGAATTTTGCACTTTTAACATTAAAAGAAGAAAGAAAGATGAGTGTATGGTATTGTTCACTTTTGCAGACTGACACAGCTTCTGTATTATTAGAAGCCATTGGATACATCAGATTTCTGCAGAGTCAAATTGAGGTGATGTTTCTATATTATTCTTTTCTTTTTTTTTTAAATTAATTTTATGCTCTCTGCAACAAGCTATTCAGAATATTCAGTTAAAGTTTCATCAATTTTTGTGTTAATTCTTTTTTTAGGTTATGGGAGTTATAAAATTTTATTCTTCTCTTTTGTTTGTTGCAGGCACTAAGCTCTCCTTACTTGGATACTGCAACTTCAAAAAACATGATGAGGAATCAACATTCTGTATGTACACATTTCTCAATGTCTCTGAAATTTTAGTGGACAAAATATTGTAGAGATTTAAAAACAATCGCAGTCAAGTACAACTTTCGATATTTCAATCGGCACATAAATCACGAATTGATTGTGGTCATCACAATATAAATTTATCATAATTTATTTTTTAATATAAAAACAGTAACCGTCGAACAATATTAATTAAAAAATCAAAATTGTCTTTAAGGGCGTACAAACCAAACTTCAGCACCAAGTTCAAATTTTTTTTACTGTTAATCCATAATTAAATAAAATTTCTATTTATTTTTCTATGGATGAACAATATTCATACACTTAAGATGACTTTGAATATTTGTTTTTTTTTCTTAAATTTTTTTAATTTGTTTATAAAAAACTATTAACAGGTGCATGTTGAAAGAAATGCTGTGTTTCCTGAGGACCCTGGTCAGGTATGCTTTATTGGATCCATAAATTAAGGGAAATTAATTAACCTTTATTTACAATTAATTAATTAGTCTTCAAGTAACAAGAAACGATTGAAACAAGGTTTATCAGCTTTTTATATAAAAAAAACATTTAAAGCTGATGAAAAGCATGATGAAGCTGAATTGTTGAATTGAAGTCAAAGAATGGCTCAAATTTCATAGAGAAGTTGAATTAGTAATTAATTAATAATATACTTTCTTTTTATTCTGATTTCTAGCTGTTGGATGACACTGGCCTAAAAAGAAAGGGCGCTCCAATTCCAAACCAGGTATTCTTTCTTTCTTTTTCTTCAAAAGGTGTCCCATAGCCATCATCATCATTTTAGTATTCTTCTTCATTTGACTCCTCCTTCTATTAAATACATTTATATATAAGATTCTATAATCACTATATATACTATCATTATCACCAAAGTTCAAAAATTGACAATGTCACACTTTGCATGATTAAAAATAGTAATAATATCATGTTTTAGACCCTTTTTTGAGGGTGTCTACAAAACCTAGAATTTGACAAGAGTTAAATTGTTGCAAAATAAAACCTAATAAAATATTTCTTACAGTTAAATTATGATTAAAAATCATTATTTATATTTTTATAGTTGAATCGGGTCTAATTTACGTAGGATCTTGAAAAACTTAAGATGATTTCGTCAACTGTAATAATAAGTTTGACAAGACAAAATTAGGATATGTCAATGTGATTTTAGTTAAAATCATACCTGATGTTATTGTGATTTTATCGATATTTTTTAACATATTTGAATAATTATGAATGATATATTAAAAATTTAATTGAAATATACTGATGGTATAAAGAAATTTTACACTCTTAATTAAATCACAATTGTTGATTAATTTAAAATGTTTGACTTTTATTTTAACATCTCTTAAAGTAATACAATTAAATGGTTATATGCTGTAAAAGTAATTACGCTGACAAGACATAGCAATTAAACTCTTATATTAATGTTTCTTTATAAATAATGATTTATATTATGATGAACTAATTATTAATATTTTTTGAAATGATACTTAGAATGTAGAAGGAAATAAGGCAAAGGACTTGAGGAGTAGAGGGTTGTGTTTGGTTCCTATTTCATGCACACAACATGTTGGAAGTGAAAATGGAGCTGATTATTGGGCACCAGCGTTTGGAAGTGGATTTTAATTAACATGCAAGATGGAGAAAATATGTGGATGATATATAATATAACATCATGAGCAGTATATAATATAACATCATGAGCAGTCATTCTACTGGTAATTATGAAAAGATTGATTGCTCACGATGCTATATAATAACTGGAATATTTAAATCTTCTAATCTAATTAATTATTAGATGATCATCTATTATGTTTGGTTCAAAACTTCAATTGATATGTAAGTTTGCTTCTTCTAAATATGCATGCTTTCTGCTGAGTTTAAATTATTCCTTCTTTCATTTAGAAGTATTATTAGTATTTGGTGACTTTTTTTTTTAATTTTTGGGTTTTTAAAGAAAAATATATTTTTTATTTATCTATTTAATTTTAAATATTTTTAAATTTTAAGCTTATATTAATATTACATCTATTTTTTTATTATAGGAATATAAGGTTTTAGCACGTAATTATACAACTAATATAATTGATTTCATAAAAAAAATTGTATATTTTTGTAAAATTGCATTTATTTCACATATTAATGACAAGAACTGTTGTTGAAAAAAAAACAATTAATTGAATAGGAGACATTAAAATTATGGGTATAATAAGAAAATATAATTTGTTTTGAGACAATAAGAAAATAATTTTATTCATATTGATATTGTAAATCAATATGTACAATGACAGAATTATTTTGCAAAAATAACTTATAAAATATACAATTATTTTGTAAAACCGACTTATAATAAAAGATAATTATTTTTTTAAAATCATATTTCTTTAGTACACTCAAGATCTATATAAAAAATTTGACTGACGTCAGAGTCAACGTATCAATGAAGAGGAAACACCTCCTCGCCCCTATCCCCTAGGTCCTAATTAGACGTTCACATTTCATCGATTATTGTTGCACGACCACTACTAAATCTCTAGAGATTGTTAAATTCTTGTCCTCAAAACGGAGGATATAATTCGTGCCATCGTTGAGGTTAAAGGAGGAGTCTATTAGTTTTTTTTTTGATTCATAATGGCTTTCAATATGGATACGACACACTAGTGCCGACAATCTGGAGGTGTTGTAGATTATTGATGAAGATGCTTGTCACCTAAAAAACTTTTAAGGTCGTAAATCTTACAACGAGAGAGTGGTGAAAAAAATTTAGTACTTTTTCTAACAGACACCTCCTTTGGTCATTACCGAACGCTAGATATGTAACTTCAGAGCTAACTATGTTAAGTGGGACCGTGGTGATTTGGTAGTGCTTCACATAAGAAACTTTCATACTTGAAAACATTCTGACAACCAAATTAGTAAGAATCGTGGTTGTGATATCTCTTAGTCTAGGTAAAGACAAAATTTATGCCAAATCTCTCAAATGTGTTTTTTTAGGCTATTCACGTGAATAAAAAGGGTATCGTTGTTTTTGTCCCCAACTTCAATAATACATTATTTCCTTTGATGTAACATTCTTTGAAACTTCTCTGCTCTTCTCTGCCTCTGTGTCACCTGATGAGAATTGTACTTCATATGTTCAAGATATCTCTTCCATCATACTCACACCCATTACAGTCCCTGCACCTCTATTGCAGGTCTACCAATGACTGACACCCCATCTATCAGAGGTAAGAGATGATATTGATTCGCTGACACCATCTCCTGCTCCAACTGCTCCTCCAATTACGTCACCCGAACTTGACCTTTCAATAGCATTACGAAAATGTATTTTCTCTTATCATCCTAATCATAAATATGCTTTTGTTTTAAATTATCATTGTCACTCTACTTCCTTTGTCTCTTTTGTTTCTTCTTTGTATTATGTGTCAATTCCTAACTCTACATGTGAAGCTACGAATGATCCACTACTACAAAACGCGCATACAACAACGCCCAGTTCACCACGGTTCTTCCCAACACCGTGGTGACATCTCTAACTCAGGCGCGAACATTTTTTTTATATTTTTTTTATTAAAAATTGTTAGCATCTAATAACAGTTGCATCCATAATTATGGTTATAGAATCCAGGCTTTCTTGGATTTTAACCTGAGTACCCTCACATATATTATTCGTTTAACGTTAAGGCGCGGCTTTTTCTATTATATTTTTTTATATATAAAATAAAGGGTTACAATTGCGGTTCTTTAGTTAAATCATATATATATATATATATATATATATATATATATATATATATATATATATATATATATATATATATATCACTACGGTTACTAACGTCAACCGTTGTGAGTATATTTATATATAAGCGAATTAAATCTCGCTCTTTCCCCAGCAAAATCGTAGAATCCATTTTTTCTCTTCTTCCTTATCATTAGCATTCCTATTCTACAGTATAGCCTGTCAATCTTGTTCTTCTTACATAAAGGTATTCTTCTTTTTCCTTTATTCTCTTGCGTTCGTGTATGGTATTGTTATGTTTCACATGGTTAGATAGTTTATGGTTCTTTTATTTTTGTATGTTGTTCTATGTTGTTGTTGCATGTTGTGTTGATGACAAGTAAGTTTGTCGTTTCACGTGTTAATAATTTTCATGGTATTTGTAGGACTCAAGAAAAGTGAATGAAAAAACAACAACAACAGCAAACTTCATCTAGTTTTAGAAACTATGAAAAGAAATATAAGAAGTATGAAGCTATTGTGTTAACTTCATCCACCTTACACTTCTTCCTCATGGCTTCACAAACTAGATGAACCTCATAGCTCTACGATTATTTTCAATAAAAGGTGCATTTTATAAACAACTTAATATATTTTGTGATATTGTATGTTGTTAGTGTTTTGTGGTTAAAATGTTTGTTTTTGTTTATTGTGTTATGTAACACCCCAATTTCATCTGACAATATATATAAAATCAGAGTTATAAAATTCCGACAACTGAATCAGGATGCTACAAATTCAACTTAAAACAACGGTATTCATTGCAGATACATAACACATTAAACTTGGATGAACCAACAAAAATATAAATTAATCTTTTAAAGCCAACAACTTTCATAACTACGCAGCAGAATCAAATATTCAACTTAAAGAATATAACATCTTTATCCAACTACTGAAGGTAAACCGCCTTCACTCTGGATTACCTACACGTTACCAACATCGGGGTAACATTCAAACAAAAGGGATGAGATATCAAACAATATAATCAGATGTATGATAAACATTATATTAGAATCAGTTCATACAAAAATCATCGCTTCACAATTAATAAAAACATGAGCGTAATCAAATCAACCACACACGACTTAGAATGCAACATAGAATGCAACTTGTCTTTATGCAAATGCATGTGGTACCAATGGAGCAGAACTCCCAACTTAAACATCTGCCAATAAATAGAGGCATCAACAAGGCATAAGCCTTCAACTTAATATTTTGTCAATCTAAGCCAACTTAACGAGCATTAGCTCCAACTTGATATGCGATGTATGCGACACAACATGGATGTAGCAAAAATCAATAACAAACAACAACTCAATATAAATCAACATTGGCCATAAGCCTACAACATCAACAACAATTCAACATCAACATAATTCAACTTTGGCCATAAGCCTACAAAATAATATCTGCCAAATTAGAGGCATCTCAACATAATTCATCAACCTGCAAGTTCTCAATTAAGCACGACTACACAGCACACTGTAACGACCAAATTGACACATACGGGCAATAGGACTAGGGAAACTACACGCCCCTCGACATACACAGCAACTAAGACAGCATAATAACTTACTCAATTCTCCTCGATACGCACAAAAACAAAAGAATAACAACTACTTATGTTCCTCGGTACCACCTGCAACTTCGTGCCACTCGACAACAGTACCATGCTCCTCGACACGCCTCGCAGCCTAATGCCGCTCGACATCCAACACATATATTCTCTGACACACCTCGCAGCATAAATTTCGCTCAGCACCTAACACCATCAGCATCCTCCTCGACCACTAATTTCGGCCAACAATATAGAATAATACAATAGCATAACGACCATCACAAAATAATTCATGATTTCTGGCCAACTGCTCGAACTAACACAGCAACGGGCAACTATATCTACTTTCAACAGATTCAATAATTGTACAAGACAGTCACGTTGAACCCTTCCTATAACGACCATAGCAACAAATTACTAATTTTCCTGCCAACCGTTCGGAATATCACAATTTCCTAACGACCACATCAACAGATAAAATCTACACTAACCTAATCGTCGATTATACCGGACAATTATACAGACAACTCAAAACGCCCACAACATAACAACCAGGTAACTTCCTATAACAGGTTCATTAAACAGTCGTACGGTAACTCCCTAAACGACCACAGCATGAGGAAACGGGAAACTTCGTTAACAAATCCAGAAACATCAACACACACAGTCATACAAACGACCAATTCCCACATAATACACATCATAAATCCCATTATACGGTCAGAACCCCACTCTTACCTAAATTGAAGGTCGCTCTACCAAAATTTCAGCCGACGGCCTTGCTTTGTTCTGCTCGACACCGGACAACTTGCTCCTCTCTCCACGTAGCTCTTCCGGTTAATGCACAAACCCTTAATCACCAACTAAATCAAATACTTGTGTCAGCTTAACCTTATATCATCAATTCTATTGGGCCTAACTTACATACCCCCACTTTACTACTTTCAACCAATAAAATAGCTCAACACTATTATTCCATTAATTCCAACATTATTATTATTATTAATCAACTAATTAATAATAATCTAACAACTTATACCAACAATTCTCAACATCTCACAACTTTTCAACAAATAATCCAAAAAATAATTTAATTAAATAATTAATTAAATTAACGGGCATTACATGTTACATGTATTTGTTTTGTTGTTGTATGATGTTGTTGCTGACAAATATTCTCAAAACAAGAATAAAACATTGCTAAGTCATAAGAAGAATGCGTCTTGTGACTTAGAAATGTTTTGTTCTTTAAATTCTTATAAAGGTTGACAGAAGATGAAGTTT